CGGGAGTAGAAAGCCTCATCTTTCTCCCGCGGAGCGGCTGGTAGTTTCGAACCGCTGACCTTAAGGTTCGCAGCCCGATTCGTAACCACTACGCTACCAGGTCTCCATTAGAGAGATGCAAATCAAAACAACAATGAGATATCATTAGTAAGTAATATCATGACTAATTGTGACTGTTACAACTGTAAAGGTAAGAATTTTTGTAATATAAAGGGGGGAGTAGTTAATCTTACATTCCAGGAACAGAGGATCCTTGGATTATCAAGGGAGAAGAGCACGAGCGGAATGTGGGCCCCTATCCAGAGAAGCAGTGACACCAGAAATAGAGGCTGAGATGATGACAACAATGAGAGCTAGAGCAGCTGAGGACTCTAGACTCATGGAAAGAGGTTGTGCGTAGGCAGGCAGGAGGCTGGTTTGCAAAGTGTGCCCTTGGGTTGTTTAAATGATTATATATTCCTAAGTGGTTTTGTGTACATCAAAAACAAAAAACAGAAGGAACAGATGCAAATACTGTTGAATGGTGATAGTGGAGGGGATTTCAATCATTGCAATGATAAGAAATATGATAGGGTAAGTGCAAAACTGATGTTTTCCCATGTAAACTATCACTCAATGTACAATAAAATCTTAAAAAAAAGACTCATCCTAACAAGTGTTAAGTTTACAAATGTGAAATAAAGTGATAAATATTCCAATAAGAATGTTTAATGAAAACACACGTTCAAGTAGGTCTGATTAAAAGATGTGCCCGACCAACACGCTCCAAGAACTGTTGCCCTCTCCTCTGCGTTTTGCTGTCTCCTTCCCCAGCTACTTAGAATTTTGCTTTACATTTTCCATCTCTTCCTCTCATTTTTTAAACATATTTAAAACATACTTTTCATTTTAAATATTAACATGATTGAAAGGCCTGATTCTAACTGGTTTATTTTAATGTCTGATTTTAATGAGAATCAAAAGTTAAAAAGCACACACAAAAAAAATAGGGAGATGGAAACAGAAGCAATTATCGTAACAACTGAAAAACCGTCTGAATTAGATAGTTTTTAAAGTCCTGTTGCTGTTGTTAGATACCCTTGAGTAGGTTCTGCCTCACAGTGACCCTATGTACAGAGAACATAACAATGCTGGGTCTTGCATCATTCTCACCATCTTTGTTATGTCTGAGCCCACTGTTGCAGACACTTTATCAATCCACCTTTATTATGGTCTTTCACTGACTCTGTATCAAACATGATGTCCTTCTCCAGGGACTGGTCCCTCCTGATAACATGTTCAAAGTAAATGAGATCAAGTTTCGCCATCCTCACTTCTAAGGAGCATACTGGGCATATTTCTTCCAAGACAGTATTGTTCATTCTTCTGGCAGTCCAAGATATATTTAATATTTTCTGTCAATACCATAATTCCAATGCATCAATTCTTCTTCTACCTACCTTATTCACTGTCCAGTTTTTGTATGCATATGAACAGACGGAACTTGAGTAATGTACACCTTTAGTACTTTTCTTTTTACTTACGGGAAAGTGCGAATGCAGTCCCCTAAGATTTGTCCAATTTGATTTCTTGACTATTGCTTCCATGGGTGTTGACTGTGAATTCAAGTAAAATTAAAAACCTTGACCAATTATTTTCTCTGCTTATCATGATGCTACTTCTTGGTCCAATTCTGAGGATTTCTGAGTTTTTATGCTAAAGTATAATCCATACTGAAGGTTCTTTCAAGTCCTCTTCACTTCAGTAAGCAAGGTTGTGTTGTTGCATATTGTAGTAGGCTGATGATGTGTTCTTTTCATGCAGTCTAGCTCCTCGGATTATTTGCTCAGCATACAGACTAAATACAGTGAAAGGATAACAGCTCTCATGTACACCTTTCTTGATTTTAAACCATGCAATATCTGCTTGTTCTGTATGAACTCTCTCTTAGTCTACAAACAGGTTTCTCATAAACACAATTAAGTATTCTTAAATTCCCATTTCTGGGAATGCTATCAACAATTTGTTATAACCCACACAGTCAACTACCTTTGCACAGTCAGTGAAACATAGGCAAACATCCTTCTGGTATTCTCTGCTTTCAGCCAAGATACATCTGACATCAGCAATGATTACTGCTCATTCCAGATCCTCTTTTGAGTCTGGCTTGACTTTCTGGCAAATCCCTGCTGATGTGCTGCTGTAACCATTTGAAAGCCTTACCTATATAAAATCTAGCAAAGCCCATATAACTTCTATGGTCAAATTTCTGATTTTAATTTTCCTTTGAAAAACTGGTTCTCCCAAAATACTTGCCAAAACCAAAGAGAATTTGAAGGTATCAAATAACTTCACTTTATTGGGTTCATTACTTTTATAGATATGAGGTCACTATTGCATTTACTTTTGTCAACTCTTCAAAATTACATGAAAATCAAAGTGAAAGCTTTAAAAGATGGCAGAATGTATATGATTATTACTTTGGGATAATGCCAAAAAGGTGAAATGAACTGCAAACTTGATTGTAAAGAAATATTTTAATCAATTTTTAAAATATCAAACCAAGCTAGTCCACACTTTGGATCAAAGATCTGTTGAACTGTGCTTTTCCTATTTTAAATCTTCACCAAATCATTTTGCCTTAAAGAGTAGCCTTATGTAAACAGAAGCAGATTAGCAATGATCATTTCTAAACATTTTATAACTTCTCATTTATCTTACAGACTTACATTTATTGTATAACTTCTTATATTCTAACAATTTCCACAATCTACTCATTAATATAAGGAACTCTGGTAGCGTAGTGGTTACAAGTTGGGCTGCTACCCTCAAGGTCAGCTAGTTCGAAACTACCAGTGGTTCCACGAGAGAAAGATAAGGCTTTCTGCTCCCGTAAAGATTTAAAGCCTCGGAAACCCTGTACAGGGTCGCTATGAGTCGGAACCAATTCCATGGCATACCACCACCACCACTCATTAACACAAAGTAATAATAAGTTTCTATAGTAAAAAAATTAATAATTCATTAAGAGAATTATTATGGTGACGAGAGTAAATGTTAAGAAGCCCTGGTAGCAAAGTGGTTAAAGGGTCAGTTGCTAACTGAAAGGTCCAAATCCACCAGCCACTCCATGGGAGAAAGATAAGACAATCTGTTTCTATACAAATGATCAAGGACTAGTTCTACCCTAATGGGTCGCTGACTAAGATTCAACTTGACGGCACACAGCAACAGAGTAAATATTATAAAACTGTAATGGTTTAAACACTTGTTACTACTTCCACTTACTTCTGTGCTCCCTGAGACAACAGCTTTGTCCACATTCACCAATAACTGTTCTTCCATCTGGCATACTCCTAGCGACCATTCCACACAACGGTGATGAGCCCAGCAAGCACCTAAAATAGTATATGTAAAAAGGAGTAAATGAATAAGCATTAAAAGGCATTTAAGTTAAAACATAAAGATATAAAACTGCCAAATCATTTCTAAATGCATAATTGTGCTCCACTGAGTCAATTTTGAAACACAGCAATACAATAATAGGACAGAGAAGAAGTGCCCACACTGGGCTTTCTAGACTGTAATCCTTACAAACAGAGCCTTAGTGACAAAGAGGTGAAGTGTTCTGCTGCTAACAGAAGCCTGGCAATTCAAACCACCAGCCACTTAGTGAGAAAACAATGTGGCAGTCTGCTTCCATAAAGACTGCAGCCTTTAAAACCCTATGGACAATTCTACTCAGTATGAATCAGAATCACCTCAATTGTTGTTGTTGTTATGTGCCGTGGAGTCGGTTCCGACTCATAGCGACCGTGTACAAGGTTTCTGAGGCTGTAAATTTTTACAGGAGCAGAAAGCCTCATCTTTTTCCCGCAAAACAGCTGGTAGTTTTGAACTGCTGCTGATCTTGTGGTTCGCAGCCCGATTTGTAACCACTAAGCTACCAGAGCTCCTTATACACAATAACGACAATCTATGAAAGCAAAATGTCAGGTTTTTTCTCTTATGGAAGTGCTTGGTGGGTTACAATCATTGATCTTTTGGTGGCGGCTGAGCACTTAACCATTGCATCACCATCCAATCTGTCCATCCTACAGCTGTTGAGTTAATTCCAACTCGTAGCAACACTATAGCACAGAATATAACTACCACAGCGTTCTCCTGTGGTGGGTTCCAACTGCCAACTTTTCAATCAGCTGAGTGCTTAGCCACTCCTTAAATACAAAATGGCATCCTATACAGATTGCCCTCAAATTACAATGGGGTTCTGTTCTGACAACTTCATCATAAGTTAGCTCTGAGGTATGTCGAATACCTAATTTTTTTCATTACCACAGTCCTTTCTTTTATCAGTAGTTATAAACATGATCTTTGTCTTTGGGGATTGGAAACACTACATAATCTGCTCTGGAAGACATAATTCATCATTTGGGTTAATGTGCTGGGCTGTAAAGTTAGTGTGAATCTCAAGGTAGGCGGTTCAAGCTCACCAGTTGCTCCTAGGAAACCCCATAGGGTCTCTATGGGTCAGAACCAACTCAACGGCACTTAACAACAACAATTATCTTGTCCAGCCCGCACGCTTCAATTTTTTAGCAGCTTCAACATTGGCACTTCCTGCATTCATAGTGACAAAACCAGCCCCTGGTGGCATTAAAGTATTCACAGCAGTTTCCTTGCTGTTCTTTCAGATTTTAAAAAAATGCTTTGTGCTTTTCTTTGAATCGTCAGTAAACTCATGAGAATCTTCTTCTAGATTTGTTCTACAAAAATCAGCAACGTCTCCAACTTGAAGGGTGGTCCTTACTACTTCTTTGTTGAAATTGCTGATTTTATGCAAATCACTATAGAATCCTATTCTTATCCTTAATAAGGATCAACAGAGACAGTCCTTCCTCATGTGCTATGTTGTAAACTTTGTTCTCATTGTCATAGGCCTTTAAAGATATTCATCTTTATATCTCTATCTCAAGCCTTCCTTACCATCTTTTTTTTTTTTTTTTAATTTATAGTGCCTTAACTTCTTTTAAAAAGGAGCTCTGGTAGCGTGGTGGTTACGAATCGGGCTGTGAACCTTAAGGTCATCGGTTCGAAACTACCAGCCGCTCCGCAGGAGAAAGATGAGGCTTTCTACTCCTGTAAAGATTTACACCCTCGGAAACCCTGTAAAGGGTCGCTATGGGTCGGAACCGACTCGACGGCACTTAACAACAACAACAAACTTCTTTTAAGGAGCCCTGGTGGATAAACACTAGACAGCAGTTCAACCTACCAGCCACTTTGCAGCACAAAGCCTTGGAAATCCTTATGCAGGGTCATTTTATGTCAGAATCGACCCAGTGGCAACTGAGTTTGGTTTATTTACTATGATGATTTATTTTTCTAAATACGTTATTGGAGGTAAAAGCTGTGTAAGTGCTACAATGTGAGAAACTTAACTCAGCTTCATATTAACAAATGATGCATCTTTCTGATAGCACAAAACACTGAATAACATCACACTATAGACTGGTCTACAATGAAATCAGTTATTACCACCTGTCTGACAGGTGCACAGTTCAATTGCCGTACGTCGTTAGAACTAAATATTACCCAACTTTCTATTTCTGACAATGTCCAGTATCAACTTCCTTGTAGACCAGACCAGTCTGCTATATGGCAGTGTTTAAAACAGTAAATCTGTTAGTGAACATCTGAGAATGGTAACATCAGCAAATTACATGCTGCAACATTATCCATATTACTAATGATAAAACATACCAAAAATCAGACGATCTTAAGTGCAGTTTGTTATAACTCGAGTACATCAATACGTCGTTAGTCGGGGACTACCCATATTTGTGATGCCATTAAATTGCCAGTTCTCAAAATGTGGTCCAGACCCTAAACAGGCAACATCAATATCACCTGGGAATTTATGAGAAAATCTCAGGTTCCAAATAAACCTTATCAAAAACTCTTGCAATGGGGCCCAGCAAGCTCTGCTTTAACAAATCTTATACAGGCAATTCTGATGCAAGCAAAATTACTGATTTAGAAAACAAGGAATTATGAAAGAACAAAATATCCATATGTCTGACTTGTAATTCAACAAGTAAAATTAGTTTACTGTCATTTTATTCTAATATTATTATAAGATATACTTGGTATCTTGCATGAAAAATCAAGAAAAATTGCTTAATACTTAGTGGATGGCAAAGGCCGATCTAGGGCAAATATATTATACATTTTCCTATATTCCCATCTATCTTGTAGTGAGAGCACAAATCCATAATTAATAATAGTTCAATCTTTAACTTCATCATATAATACTTAAACCACGATCAACCAACCTATAACTCTGTAGAATGAAATTTCTTTGAAGCCCCAATATCACCATATTATAAGTGTTATGATAGGCACTTACATGACTAAGATCTATGTTCTTCACCTCAACATTAAATAGACCCAGACTACCACACTTTTTTCCCTTCAAGTTCTCAAATATCCTTGTAAGATTTTCTGTTTCCTCAATTGTAAGAGCATGGTACTAACCATCCTCTGTACAAGAGTAAATGCCAATACTTACAAAAGCGTTCAGCCAAGTGTTGCCAATATCCAAATGGTAAATAAATTGTTATGATTGCTAGTTGTACTCAGATCATTTTAACTCATGTCAAACCAGGCGTACTTAGCAATGACAGCTTTATAACATGATCATAATTCTTTCTGGATGAAAAGTATTTACTATTAAGTTGCTAATTCATTAAATTATAAAATGCTTGCTGAATCAAGAGGTAACTACTGAATGACCCTACCTGCAGAATCAAATAAGGCCTGGACATCGATGGCATCTGGAAGGCCAACCAGACTGAGTTCATCCCATAATTTACCAGCCTGATCATCTGAAGCAGTTTGGGTGCTTGCATTTACACATGATATCATACTATGCTGAGGAGATCGTTCTCTGAAAAAATATAAAAAAATAAAACAGATATAAAAGTGGTAGCATGTAGAAAATTGCTTTCTCTTATAAAAAGGTAATGTACTGCTGCAACAATTTTAATTAGGCATAGCTAACATGAAACAACTTTTACAATGTGTTATTATTCATTGTATCATATAAAAGTAGGTTGCTGTATCATATAAGCATCAACTAGAAAAAGATTAAGTCTCCAAACCCATGAGGAAGTATTAAAAGTCACAATTACAAATCTATTTTTCCATTCAGAAAAAAATCAAACAAATTAAAAACTGACACCTTCTATTCTAGTCAGGAACCATTTGTATCACACAAAGTGAATATTCCCTTCGGTCTTAAATGCTTACAAAGGAAAGATGACCAAAACAGAAAAATTTTAGTTGCTTTATCTTAAACGAGGACTGTAACAATAGAACTGACAACTAATTTTATATCAAGTAGGTTTACTTCCAGGTAAAATGAAAACCCAATATAAAATGTAAAGAGAGAGGCAGAGGGAATAGAATACATAGCACTTTTATGGTCCCCCCACCCCTCTCAACAAAACTCAACAGCTGGTCTGTGGTATGAAGTTGCAAGTATTCTCAATTAAGACTTTATCTCACATATCAGATGTAAAATCCAAAAACAAAATAACTACAAAATGGCATAGGTGATTAAGAAAGATAAAACAATTGCAAAAACTATATATAGTATAAAAGTAGGTGTTGAATAAGCTGTACACCAAATGGGAGATTTCAGGCTTTCAACTTCAGGTATTATTTGAGTTCATTACGTAAACAGAGATTACTATTGTGTTTAACATAAAATATGGGAAATCAGATGACTGCCACTAAAACTTCAATCTCCTGATATCATAGTTATTTAAGCTCATAATTCTGGATTAAATCACTATTGAATATAGATCATAACTCACTGCACTTCTGTATGCTGGATATTTATCATGATTCCTATTAAGAGAAAATCAGCACAATGACCAGGGTACTAAACTTTTTTATACCTGGAATCATTGAAAGAAAAGAAGTATTAACATATTTCAATAAGTACATTTAAATATCAAACCATATTAAAAAATAATCAGTAATTATTTTTAGAAATGCAAAAATAATCACTTTTTAAAAAACGTTTAGCATGCTATGCTAAACTTTTGATTCTTCCTTTTATAAATGCACACTTTAAAATGAGAATAAATGTTTTCCTGTAATATAAACTCCATTCCCATAAACATAATCTTTATTACTAAGTTTTATTATTTTATTAGGAAGAGGGGGAAAACTTGTTTTAAAAGATTAACAATTCATCTTTAAAAAAAACTAATGCATTATTTTAACATATTTTCTCTGCAATTTGAAGGGATCCAAGGATCAATGGAATGACTAACCGGTCTATTTCTAACAAGTTCCTAACCATCAGCTTGATCAAATTCAACCTTTAGACCAGTTGTTAAGTATGTACCATATCATTAGGATGTCAGTGTCAATCCTAGGGATGACAGCACTCCAGCTTAACAAAAATATAAATCTCCCAATTTTTGAGCTATAAATTAAAAGGAAAGAAGAAAACAACTGTTTGTATATTCTTTTATTAAAACTAAGAGGGGAAAACTATTTTTAAACCTCCTTTTCAGATTTGAAAAAAATTGAGTTTATCTGGTTTATAATTTATTAATAACATATTTTGTAATTATTACCAGTCTAAATTAATTCTACACCTAAACGTGTTCCAAAAGTATTACTATTACTTACCAACTTGGTAAATACTAAGTGTATACAAAGACTTTCATTATACCAAGGTTATCTTTATGAAATTATCTTAGTCCATAAAAGTTTTCACAAAACTTATCTCAGCTTATAAAAAAGAAAATCAGTGAACCCAAACTATATTTCACAAAATAGTTTTATAAATTAATTATCATTAATCAGGGCAGAGCATAAAATCCATTAAGTTTGCTGATGACTGACAGTCATTACTAAGTCTCCTGATAGTTGATATATGGTATTAAGTTGTGAGCACTCAATTGATACAACTCTTATATGATCTAGCTATAACTTCTAAAATATAGTATTGACAGGCCTCCTTAAAATGTTCCACCTTAAATTCTCTTAAGAAGATTTTCCTTCTTGTTATTGTTTCCTTTCCTACTCAGGTCTTTAAAGCACTGGCAGCAGTCCAAAACAAGGAACCAATCAAATGAATACAACACAATAATGCTTCAGTACTTAAATTTGGAAAGAAGCCAGATAAGCACTTGGATGATTACATCATTATCCTCAAGGGGCAAAGATGGTTAGCTTCTAAGCTAAACTAATTTTTACACTTTCTCATTGACTATAGAAACTTCTATTCCAATGGCCAGCAGAGCCAAGTCCACATATTCAGATGATCCTTAAATAAAACTGTAAACAAACTTAAAAAAAGAAAGACAGAAAAAGATTAAAACCAGAAAGCAAATATATTAGACAAGAGATTTAGGTAATGACAATATTCCCAAGAATATACAAACACATACACAGCTATTTAAATATCTTATAATATTTCTAGTTTTGCTATTGAGTTACAATTAAGAATTTGTTCAGACAAAGAAAAGGACTTCTTTAATCTATGTTATCTTTTTTCCACTTATGAATAAGTTCCATGAATTCCCTGTCAATTTAGGCTATACTCTTTAAATTTTTATTCCAAAAGCAAGATTTTTTAAAAAATTATTATTATTTTTGAGGAAAGAAAGTGTTCATTGGATTCATATTGAGTCAGAAAGTATCCTAAGCAAGTAGAATATGAGAAACTAGTTAATAGTAACACTAATTATATATTCATACACACTGGAATGAAAATATAATATACATAGCCATATTTGCATCCAACAATTTGAATTCAACATTGCTTACTTTCTCTGTCCTCTTTGCTTTCGTGGTGCTGAGTTTTGTATTTTCTCACAGGTTTCACTGCTGTTGTCATCAATGTCCTTCATCACCGAAGGCTGGCTTTTCCATGGCAAGATAAATCCAGGTGTTAAACTGAATTGTTTCAAGTCTCCTTGTCCTAAGGAACTTTTTTCACCACAGTAACAAAAAGCGCAGAGCTGTTCACTGGTAAAAAATGAAAAGTTAGCAAGACAAAGAAGGAGAAATTTTGCTTTATCAACTACCTTAAGTGACAAACAACTACAGATACTTGTGCTTGAAAAACATGTGAGTATAACAAAACAATAATGGCAGTCCAACTGATTACTACAAGAACAAGCAAATTGCTCGCCCAGGAGACATCCAGGCAAGTGGTCGGGTCCCCTCAGGAGAAAGCCCATTCCAAGACTAAAACTCAATGTTAATACACGAGTAGACCTGCACTCTGATTGGTGACCACATTTGTCACCGATATGGGGAAGTGAGGGAAAAACAGCAATGAAGCTGCAAGCTAAGCCCTACAACGTTCAATAGACTTCTGTGAACCTGGATGGTGACCTGGTTGGCCAGCAGTGTGGCAAGACCTGGGGACTCTTGGGCCTAGAGTCAGTGACATAGCCACAGAGGACTACAGTGAAGGGTGAAGCGTCCAGCTGATAAGAAGAGAGGGCATATGCATAAGAACACCTACACTTGCAGATAATACCCACTTGACCTGGCTTCAATGGCTGGATGATCACAACTCAACTAAAAGAAGAAAGAAGAGGAAAAAAAGAGTAATCTGACACAACTTGATGAACTTGACCTACACGTATGGATGCAGCAGCTCAAAAGAGGAAACAAATCTTTACAGCGAGGATCATTCCCACCCCCTCAATTCACAGGGTAGACAGGGATGGGCAACTTGGACATTGGCTACCCAAAATGGGGGGACTACAAAGGCAAGAAGTGACTGGCTTACAAGCTCTCAAGAGGGAACCTAGATCCAAAGGGCGTGGAGGAAGGTAGAATCTCCACTGAGTAGTATATCCAATCTGTCTGGGTGGAGCTGATGAAAGAAGATGCGGATAGGTCTCTTGTGATACAGTAGTGAATAATTGTTTTCAGGACTGACTGTGAGGGGTTGGAAATGTCAAGGTAGACGTTTTGTAGCAAAAGGAGGGGAGTGATTGACTTTGCAGTCTAGGAGTGGAGGTGCCTGGACCATCAAGGGAGAAGAGCAGAGTGCAGGACCCTACCCAGAGAAGCAGTGATGCCAGAGATGGAGACAGAGATGATGACATGGAGAGATGGAGTGGCCGGGGACTCCAGACCCAGTGAGGGAGAGGGGTTATATGCTGATGACGGGTTGATGATGCATGGAGGGGGCTGTAACCATGGCAATGAAACGATATAGGAACGGATGAATGTAAAGCTAATGTTCTCCCATGTAACCTATTACATAACTCACAATATAACATTAAAAAACAAAACCAAAAAAACATGTGAGTATAACACTGAATACTATCTTTAGCAAAAGATTAGCATTTCAATATATTTTCTGTATTCTGCGATACTATCATAAAAACAATTAAGCTTAACAAGAATTACACACTTGTGATTCTACTTTTCCACACCATGAATTTTCTTTTAAAAGAGTAAATATACCAAATCGAAAAATTATATTTTGACACACTTGTGGCAAGATGGCAGACTAGGCACACTACCCAGACCCTCTACAGCAAAGATACGGATGGTAATATTGGGATCCTGAGTTTTGGAGGAAACGATAGAGAAAGGGGGATCAAATACTGACTAGAAGACAAAACGGAACAAAAACAATAAAGAATGACACCAACAGAAAGGTGAAGTGTAAGCTGACCTGACTCTGCACAGTCATTTTGAACTTCTGCAAGAAGCATTCCAGTTGGGGCAGTATGCTCCGTTTTACCTAAGACTACAAGCAGAGACTGGCAACCGGAAGTGTCCTCTTTTTCTCCATTTGACCAAAAATACTGATAGACTTCACCCATGCAGCAGCCTGTGATACCCTCCCCACATTGACATAACTCACGCTCCACCTTGAAGACAAGGCAGGGCGCACATCACATCATCCCATGCCTCCTAAGACCAGCAGAATAAGGAATGCATGACCGGCACAATTTCCCCAGTACAATTCCACTCCCTGGACTAGCAGGAACCCTTTCCAGGACCAGTAATATGTATCCAACATCCCCCCACCTAAAGGGTCAGCAGAAATTTCTTTAGGGACAGGTACCCTGGTCTAGACATCTCCTGGGCAGAAACTCCTTCTGGACCCAGGCATCCTGATTCCAACCACCGACCCAATTTTGTGACCTCCTTGGCCTGCAAGTGCACCAACTGAGTGCCCTGCACCCCACACACAAATGTTCACCTTTCTTTTTATTTTCATTCATTCGTCTTTCTTTTCTTCTGTTTCACTTCTCTTTTTTCCCTTCCTTCCACTATTTGTTTTCTCTTTACTTTTCCTTTCTCATTTTTTCTTAATTTTTTCCCTTCTATTCTTCCCCCTCCTAGTTTTTTCTATTTCTTTGTATTTAAAAAAATATTTTTTATTTTTTCTTGTTATTACTTGCTTGTATTTCCATCTAGTTCTTTGCTTTTTGTTTTTTTTATCTTTTTATTTTACTTGTTGGTAATTGCGGTTTATTTCTAGTCACATTTTTTTGTCACATCCAACAGATGGTACTGTGCCCATACTGCCCAACCATACCCACACTTTCTGAAGACGCACCACTGGTTCCTATATTGCCTAATCAACGAAAGATGACTAAAGATATTACTTCAACCCATCCTCAATTGCTATACAAAAAAAGCAAACAGACAACAGCTCACACACTCATTTCTACATCACACCCACCAGAAGACAGAGGGCAAGCGCCTATGTCCTTCCAAGCAAGTGAGCAGAGTAACACAACTCCACTGCTCACTGGAATGTATCAAAACAAAACAAAATCTGAGAAAACCAAGCAACATAAAATATCAATTACATACAAGTACAACATCACAAAGACATCTTGAAGACAATATACAATCTTAACACACACAAATGAATGAGACAGAGTAGTTTAAATAAGTGAACTAAACACAGAGCCACAAAACCTTTCTGAGGAAGAAATGGCATTGGAACTACCAGGAGAAGCCTCCAGCCTAACATGTGATCCATGGACTTTGAACTTGCCTGCCTATACAACTGTGTGAGCCATTTCCTCAACATAAACTTCTCTCTCTTTCATACACACACACACGTCCTGGTATAGCACTGTGGGTTAATGCACTGGACTGTAAAGTCGTTTTGTACCGCAAGGTTGGTGGTTCAAGCTCACCAGCTGCTCCTAAGAACCCCTATTCAGGGTTGCTATTGGTTGGACCTGATTCAATGAAACTTAAAAGCAATTATACACGTTCAACCATTTTAAGAGGTAGAATATGAACAAGAGCCAATGATACTGAAGGAAGAAGTCTACGTTGCACTGAAAGAATTGGCAAAGAATAAGGTTTCAGGAATTGATGGAATAAATATTAAAATTTTTCAAGAAAGTGAGGTGGCACTGGGGGCACTCACTAACTCATCTATGCCAAAAAATCTGGAGACAACTATCTGGCCAATAGATTGGAAGAGATCCGTATGTGTGCCCATTACAAAGAAAGGAAACGCAATGGAATGCGGAAATCATTGGATAATATCTTTGATATCCCAAGCGAGGAAACTTTTACTTAAGGTAATACAGACACTGCTGCAAGCATACATTGACAGAGAACTTCCAGAGGTTCAAGCCAGATTCAGAAGAGGACGTGGAATGAAGGACATCATTGCTGATGTCCGATGGATCTTGGCTGAAAGCAGAGAATACCAGAAGACGTTTACCTGTGCTTTACTGACTACACAAAGGCTTTCGATTGCGTGGATCATTAAAAGCTAAGGACAACATTGCAAAGTATGAATATTCCAGAACACTTACTTGTGCTCATGAGGAATCTGTACACGGACCAAGAGACAGTTGTTCAAACAGAACTGGGAACACTGAATGGTTTAAAATTAAGATAGACGTGTGACAGGGTTGTATTTTTTCACCATACTTAATTCAACCTGTATTGTTGAGCAAATAATCCGAGAAGCTGGGTTACATGAAGAAACACATGGCATCAGGATTGGAGGAAGACTCATTAACAACCTGTGGTATGCAGATGAGACAACCTTGCTTGCTGAAAGTGAAGAGGACTTAAAATACCACAGCCTTTGGTATGGATTGCATCTCAATGTAAAGAAAACAAAAATCCTCACCACGGAACCGATAAATAATATCTTCTCAAAGGAGAATAGATTGAAGTTATCAAGGACTTCATTCTTCTTGGAACAAATATCAACACTCATGGAAGCAGGAGTCAAGAAATCAAAGGACGTATTGCATTAGGCAAATGTGCTGCACAAGATCTTTTTTAAAGTGTTGAAAAGCAATGATGTTAGCTTGAGGACTGAGGTGTGCCTAACACGAGCCATGGTATTTTCAATAACCTCATGCATGCAAAAGTTGGACAGTGAATAATGAAGACCGTAGAAGAACTGATGCTTTTGAGTTATGGTTTTGGAGGAGAATATTGAAAAGTGCCATGGGCTGCCAAAAGAACAAACAGATCTGTGATAGAAGTGTAGCCAGAATGCTCTTGAAGGCCAGGATGGCCAAATTTTGTCTCTCATATTTCGGACATATTATCACGAGGGACCAGTCGCTGGAGAAGGGTATCATGTTTGGTAGTGTGGAGAGTCAGAGAAAACAGGAAGACCCTCTAGCGAGATGGACTGGCCAAGTGGCAGCATCAATGGACTCAAGCGTGGCAACATTTGTGAGGTTAGTCCAGGACCAGGCAGTGTTTTGTTCTATTGTACATAGGGTCGCTATGAGTCGGTACAAACTCGATGGCACCTAACAACAACAATAAACACACACACACACATATATATGTATGTATATTTTTTTTCCAAAAGTAACAATAATTCTAAGGATGGTGCAGGACCATTGCTATTGTGCATAGAGTGGTTATATATATGCATATACAAGCTTCAATGGTTTTCTCTAGAGAACCCAGACTAAGACATATACCAAGTGGGATTCAGAAAAGAAATACAAGGGTGGTTCAATGTTAGAAAAACAATCAAAATAGAA